TCTCCTCGGGCTTGACCTCGGTCGTCTCGACCGTCTCGGTGGTCACTTCCGTCACCTCCGTGGTCTCCTCCGTGGTGGTGGTGACCGGCACTTCCTCGGTCACTTCGACCGTCTCGGTGGTCACTTCCGTCACCTCCGTGGTCTCCTCCTCGGTGGTCGTGCCCGCAGTCGGCTTGCGCTTCGGCTTGCGGTGCTTCTTCGACTTGGGCTTCTTGCCCTGCGTCACCTCGGTCTCCTCCACGGTCTCCTCCACGGTCTCCTCCACGATCTCGGTGGTCTCGATCGTCTCGGTGGTCTCGGTGGTCACTTCCGTCACCTCCGTGGTCTCCTCCGTGGTGGTGGTGGCCGGCACTTCCTCGGTCACTTCGACCGTCTCGGTGGTCACTTCCGTCACCTCCGTGGTCTCCTCCTCGGTGGTCGTGCCCGCAGTCGGCTTGCGCTTCGGCTTGCGGTGCTTCTTCGACTTGGGCTTCTTGCCCTGCGTCACCTCGGTCTCCTCCACGGTCTCCTCCACGATCTCAGTCGTCTCGATCGTCTCGGTGGTCTCGGTGGTCACCTCCTCCGTCACCTCGCTCGTAGACGGCACCTCCTCGGTCGTCTCGGTGGTCACTTCCGTCACCTCCGTCGTCTCCTCGGGCTTGACCTCGGTCGTCTCGACCGTCTCGGTGGTCACTTCCGTCACCTCCGTGGTCTCCTCCGTGGTGGTGGTGACCGGCACTTCCTCGGTCACTTCGACCGTCTCGGTGGTCACTTCCGTCACCTCCGTGGTCTCCTCCTCGGTGGTCGTGCCCGCAGTCGGCTTGCGCTTCGGCTTGCGGTGCTTCTTCGACTTGGGCTTCTTGCCCTGCGTCACCTCGGTCTCCTCCACGATCTCGGTCGTCTCGATCGTCTCGGTGGTCTCGGTGGTCACCTCCTCCGTCACCTCGCTCGTGGACGGCACCTCCTCGGTAGTCTCGGTGGTCACTTCCGTCACCTCCGTCACTTCCGTCGTCTCCTCGGGCTTGACCTCGGTCGTCTCGACCGTCTCGGTGGTCACTTCCGTCACCTCCGTGGTCTCCTCCTCGGTGGTCGTGCCCGCCGTCGGCTTGGGCTTCGGCTTGCGGTGCTTCTTCGACTTGGGCTTCTTGCCCTGCGTCACCTCGGTCTCCTCCACGGTCTCGGTCGTCTCGATCGTCTCGGTGGTCTCGGTGGTCACCTCCTCCGTCACCTCGCTCGTGGACGGCACCTCCTCGGTCGTCTCGGTGGTCACTTCCGTCACCTCCGACACTTCCGTCGTCTCCTCGGGCTTGACCTCGGTCGTCTCGACCGTCTCGGTGGTCACTTCCGTCACCTCCGTGGTCTCCTCCGTGGTGGTGGTGACCGGCACTTCCTCGGTCACTTCGACCGTCTCGGTGGTCACTTCCGTCACCTCCGTGGTCTCCTCCTCGGTGGTCGTGCCCGCAGTCGGCTTGCGCTTCGGCTTGCGGTGCTTCTTCGACTTGGGCTTCTTGCCCTGCGTCACCTCGGTCTCCTCCACGGTCTCCTCCACGATCTCGGTCGTCTCGATCGTCTCGGTGGTCTCGGTGGTCACCTCCTCCGTCACCTCGCTCGTGGACGGCACCTCCTCGGTCGTCTCGGTGGTCACTTCCGTCACCTCCGTCACTTCCGTCGTCTCCTCGGGCTTGACCTCGGTCGTCTCGACCGTCTCGGTGGTCACTTCCGTCACCTCCGTGGTCTCCTCCGTGGTGGTGGTGGCCGGCACTTCCTCGGTCACTTCGACCGTCTCGGTGGTCACTTCCGTCACCTCCGTGGTCTCCTCCGTGGTGGTGGTGACCGGCACTTCCTCGGTCACTTCGACCGTCTCGGTGGTCACTTCCGTCACCTCCGTGGTCTCCTCCTCGGTGGTCGTGCCCGCAGTCGGCTTGCGCTTCGGCTTGCGGTGCTTCTTCGACTTGGGCTTCTTGCCCTGCGTCACCTCGGTCTCCTCCACGGTCTCCTCCACGATCTCGGTCGTCTCGATCGTCTCGGTGGTCTCGGTGGTCACCTCCTCCGTCACCTCGCTCGTGGACGGCACCTCCTCGGTAGTCTCGGTGGTCATTTCCGTCACCTCCGTCACTTCCGTCGTCTCCTCGGGCTTGACCTCGGTCGTCTCGACCGTCTCGGTGGTCACTTCCGTCACCTCCGTGGTGGTGGTGGCCGGCACTTCCTCGGTCACTTCGACCGTCTCGGTGGTCACTTCCGTCACCTCCGTGGTCTCCTCCGTGGTGGTGGTGACCGGCACTTCCTCGGTCACTTCGACCGTCTCGGTGGTCACTTCCGTCACCTCCGTGGTCTCCTCCTCGGTGGTCGTGCCCGCAGTCGGCTTGCGCTTCGGCTTGCGGTGCTTCTTCGACTTGGGCTTCTTGCCCTGCGTCACCTCGGTCTCCTCCACGGTCTCCTCCACGATCTCAGTCGTCTCGATCGTCTCGGTGGTCTCGGTGGTCACCTCCTCCGTCACCTCGCTCGTAGACGGCACCTCCTCGGTCGTCTCGGTGGTCACTTCCGTCACCTCCGTCGTCTCCTCGGGCTTGACCTCGGTCGTCTCGACCGTCTCGGTGGTCACTTCCGTCACCTCCGTGGTCTCCTCCGTGGTGGTGGTGACCGGCACTTCCTCGGTCACTTCGACCGTCTCGGTGGTCACTTCCGTCACCTCCGTGGTCTCCTCCTCGGTGGTCGTGCCCGCAGTCGGCTTGCGCTTCGGCTTGCGGTGCTTCTTCGACTTGGGCTTCTTGCCCTGCGTCACCTCGGTCTCCTCCACGGTCTCCTCCACGATCTCGGTCGTCTCGATCGTCTCGGTGGTCTCGGTGGTCACCTCCTCCGTCACCTCGCTCGTGGACGGCACCTCCTCGGTCGTCTCGGTGGTCACTTCCGTCACCTCCGTCACTTCCGTCGTCTCCTCGGGCTTGACCTCGGTCGTCTCGACCGTCTCGGTGGTCACTTCCGTCACCTCCGTGGTCTCCTCCGTGGTGGTGGTGACCGGCACTTCCTCGGTCACTTCGACCGTCTCGGTGGTCACTTCCGTCACCTCCGTGGTCTCCTCCTCGGTGGTCGTGCCCGCAGTCGGCTTGCGCTTCGGCTTGCGGTGCTTCTTCGACTTGGGCTTCTTGCCCTGCGTCACCTCGGTCTCCTCCACGGTCTCCTCCACGATCTCGGTCGTCTCGATCGTCTCGGTGGTCTCCGTGGTCACCTCCTCCGTCACCTCGTTCGTGGACGGCACCTCCTCGGTCGTCTCGGTGGTCACTTCCGTCACCTCCGTCACTTCCGTCGTCTCCTCCGGCTTGACCTCGGTCGTCTCGACCGTCTCGGTGGTCACTTCCGTCACCTCCGTGGTCTCCTCCGTGGTGGTGGCGACCGGCACTTCCTCGGTCACTTCGTCCGTCTCGGTGGTCACTTCCGTCACCTCCGTGGTCTCCTCCTCGGTGGTCGTGCCCGCAGTCGGCTTGCGCTTCGGCTTGCGGTGCTTCTTCGACTTGGGCTTCTTGCCCTGCGTCACCTCGGTCTCCTCCACGGTCTCCTCCACGATCTCGGTCGTCTCGATCGTCTCGGTGGTCTCGGTGGTCACCTCCTCCGTCACCTCGCTCGTGGACGGCACCTCCTCGGTCGTCTCGGTGGTCACTTCCGTCACCTCCGTCACTTCCGTCGTCTCCTCGGGCTTGACCTCGGTCGTCTCGACCGTCTCGGTGGTCACTTCCGTCACCTCCGTGGTGGTGGTGGCCGGCACTTCCTCGGTCACTTCGACCGTCTCGGTGGTCACTTCCGTCACCTCCGTGGTCTCCTCCGTGGTGGTGGTGACCGGCACTTCCTCGGTCACTTCGACCGTCTCGGTGGTCACTTCCGTCACCTCCGTGGTCTCCTCCTCGGTGGTCGTGCCCGCAGTCGGCTTGCGCTTCGGCTTGCGGTGCTTCTTCGACTTGGGCTTCTTGCCCTGCGTCACCTCGGTCTCCTCCACGATCTCGGTCGTCTCGATCGTCTCGGTGGTCTCGGTGGTCACCTCCTCCGTCACCTCGCTCGTGGACAGCACCTCCTCGGTAGTCTCGGTGGTCACTTCCGTCACCTCCGTCACTTCCGTCGTCTCCTCGGGCTTGACCTCGGTCGTCTCGACCGTCTCGGTGGTCACTTCCGTCACCTCCGTGGTGGTGGTGGCCGGCACTTCCTCGGTCACTTCGACCGTCTCGGTGGTCACTTCCGTCACCTCCGTGGTCTCCTCCGTGGTGGTGGTGACCGGCACTTCCTCGGTCACTTCGACCGTCTCGGTGGTCACTTCCGTCACCTCCGTGGTCTCCTCCTCGGTGGTCGTGCCCGCAGTCGGCTTGCGCTTCGGCTTGCGGTGCTTCTTCGACTTGGGCTTCTTGCCCTGCGTCACCTCGGTCTCCTCCACGATCTCGGTCGTCTCGATCGTCTCGGTGGTCTCGGTGGTCACCTCCTCCGTCACCTCGCTCGTGGACGGCACCTCCTCGGTAGTCTCGGTGGTCACTTCCGTCACCTCCGTCACTTCCGTCGTCTCCTCGGGCTTGACCTCGGTCGTCTCGACCGTCTCGGTGGTCACTTCCGTCACCTCCGTGGTGGTGGTGGCCGGCACTTCCTCGGTCACTTCGACCGTCTCGGTGGTCACTTCCGTCACCTCCGTGGTCTCCTCCGTGGTGGTGGTGACCGGCACTTCCTCGGTCACTTCGACCGTCTCGGTGGTCACTTCCGTCACCTCCGTGGTCTCCTCCTCGGTGGTCGTGCCCGCAGTCGGCTTGCGCTTCGGCTTGCGGTGCTTCTTCGACTTGGGCTTCTTGCCCTGCGTCACCTCGGTCTCCTCCACGGTCTCCTCCACGATCTCGGTCGTCTCGATCGTCTCGGTGGTCTCGGTGGTCACCTCCTCCGTCACCTCGCTCGTGGACGGCACCTCCTCGGTCGTCTCGGTGGTCACTTCCGTCACCTCCGTCACTTCCGTCGTCTCCTCGGGCTTGACCTCGGTCGTCTCGACCGTCTCGGTGGTCACTTCCGTCACCTCCGTGGTCTCTTCCGTGGTGGTGGTGACCGGCACTTCCTCGGTCACTTCGACCGTCTCGGTGGTCACTTCCGTCACCTCCGTGGTCTCCTCCTCGGTGGTCGTGCCCGCAGTCGGCTTGCGCTTCG